TATTCTCTTGGTTTGACTCAAGTGGCCACAGAACTCTACAAAGTCCACAAAATAAAGCCAGTAACCAAAAAGGGAGAAAAAGGAAGCAACGTAGGGCAAACAGGCAGACTACCAAGCAGGGTCCACCCACGTGGCTCGGGCAAGCGCAGCGGAGGGTTTACCCAGGAGGATGACGGGAACTCGGGCGGACATATGCCCGCACACTCCCACAGGCGCGCACACGCATGACGTCATCCTTCCCCGCCAGGGCCGCCTGCCGGTGCGCAGCTTATCTCTGACCATTTGGAAGCAGTTACCTTGCTTTAATTTACTGAATCAATCTGGAAGTGTCTGTGGACGTGTCCAGATTGAAGGCGAGCGGGGAAAGGAGTTGCGAAGGCCCCCGCTGAGTACGGACCGACGGGGCGCCGCAGGCATAGCCCCTCGGGAAGGTCAAGACCAACCTGGGATGAGAGGCAGAAGTTCAAGGGCAGAAGGGCCTCTTCTCCCCCCACTGAAGGCCCCACCGGAATATGCACTCTCACACTTGGTATGTTCCTCCTGCCTCAGCTCTGAAGGGACTGAAGAAATTCAGAGTGAGCGAAATAGAGCAAGACCGGGGATTAAGAGCTTGCAGATGCCAAGAATTTTCCCCGACCTCTGAGGCCTGGGGTTCTGGGTATGTGGCCAAGGGGGCTTCCTGTCCCAGTTTTATCTGCACCCGATTGCCCATCCCAGCCAAAAATGAGAAAGCTCCGTGCTGCTCTCAAGACTAACTTCATTTGCTGAAATCCAACAGCCTGAGTCACCAAGGCTTCAGTTCAGCTATTTACACATTTATTTTAAGCACCTATTCCATCGCGGGCATTCTGCTAAAGCAAAGTGCCTGGAAAAGCTCCCAGCTCGCTGGGTGGTAGGTGGGGGCAGCGGGGACAAACAGTCCCCGAGAAGCGGGACCACACAGCGCTCCAGGGAGTTAGCCGGTCGCTCTTGAGCAGAGCCCAGCAGGTGGACCAAGGATGGACACAGAGCAGCACTCGAGGCTGAGGGAACAGCGTGTACATTCTCGTGGATGCAGAGAACCCTGCAGGCCTGCTGGCTCAGAGACTGACAGTCCCAGCCGGGACAGCAGGGAGGGAGCCCAGGGAGGCCAGGCAGGAGACAGATGTTGAAGTGTCTGGACTTTATTCCCCAGGGGAGGGGGAGTCACAGGTACAGTTTAAGCAAAGGAGAGACATGTCCTAATACACGTTTGGAAAGGCGGCCTGTTTTGGAAAGAGACGGTGAGGACTATAAACTCCGAAGAGGAGAGAGACCTAAATAAAGCACATGGGTTTCTTCCCGTCACCTATAAACTGTTCTTTCTATTCCGATGAACAGTTCAGCCTAAAAAAACCAATGTTAATAGTCAACCTCTGTGTAGCCCTTTGCGTGTCTGGATTAACGATATCATTTCATAGGTAAAGCACAGAGCACGGTGTCTGGAACACAGTTTTCTCAGAAAAGGCTCCCTGCTGGCCACATCAGCTCTGACACCTTGCTTCTCTGAGGTTTCCCATCCGTCCGTTTTTTATTGCAAGGCATTTCCTCAAGGCCTGTTTGTTTCCCACCAAAGACTCTTTGTGGGGGAGAGAAAGCAGGTCTTGGGGGTGGTTCTCACTCTCAGGATCATTCAAGTCTAGAAGTCTGAGGCTTCTGTGAGGCTGGTCTCCAGGCAGTTGAGTGTTTTTCTCTTTCTTGTCCTTTACCCAAGTTACCCCGCTCTTTCAAATGCCTGCTATCCCACCGAAGAGAAACTTTCATCTAGGTTTATTAAGTGGTAAGCAAAAGTAATATCTGTGTCATCAAACTATTATAATTCAGTTATTCAGACAGAGCTGAGATCAAGCAAAAAAAAAAAAAAAAAGTCACAGCAGAGTTAATGTGATGCTCAATGATAGACATTATTCCTCTGCTCTCTGTTAATGAGATATAAACGGTATTTCGTTCCCAAAATGACAATAATGATTGGGCAGGGCTAGAAGTGTCTCAGAACTTCTCTGAACACAGGCCAGACATTCCTAGTTGATGGAAGGGGTCGAGTTGAGGAAGGGAGGGTCTCTGAGGGCTCCAGATACATTCTCTTGCTTGAGGAAAATGCAGTCCTTTCCCCTCAAAGCCTATCTATATGCAGTCCTGAGATTCAAGACAACTTTTGGGACCCTTCAGTCCCTGCCAAGAAAAGAAAGTCTAACCCAGCACTGAAGGACGGCAGAGGGACCCCCATTTTCTCTGGCCTCAGCCTCTCACCAAGCCAGTCCTAGGATGTCTGCATTCTTCCTGCCCCTCTTCCAACTCTAGGATCTAAAGCACAGAAGAGTTCCAGCAACAGGGTAAACACAGGCTGCCCACAGGTTGCTCTGCTAGCCCAGGAACAGTGCATTCCAGTTTGCAGGGGGTGGGCTTGGGACCTTTCTTTGGCTTGGTGTCAAGGGAGACGATCCCCTTCTCTCTTAGCTCCTCTCTTGCAGGTTTAGCTCGAATTCTTATTGGATGCTCGTCGCTTTTGCTAACTTGTTGTAGACCTGGGTTTGCATTTCAACTGTACGTGGCCAGGAGAGGCTTCCTGGAGCCATTTCAGATGTCCACGAGTGACAGCTCGCTCAGCCACCAGTCAGCAAGGTAGCAACATCAATTCGAATTCTGGGCTTCCAATCAAATATTCAGAAAAGGACACTGTACCCTTTGAAAGTCGCAAAGTAACTCGGGCCTGGGAAGCAAATGTACTTGTGATGATTCTAAACTCAAGTTCGAAAGAGGACAGGATCGTCAGTGATTCCAACAACTTCAGGGAGGGAAATTTCAGGAAAGTGCACAGAGAACAAGTACATGGTAATATCAAAGCGGCCCTTGTAACATCAAATTCCTGTTAATCTACTCACATCCTGGGCAATGTTTGTCCCAATCTTTTAGCAATTACCATCTGCAAACTGTGCCACCCTATAGTCTGAATGGTTTTCGACAGTCAGTAAGAATCTGTAGCCACGTGCATATAAGTCTTTGTTTTTCTTTTGTATCATCAGGTCACAGACACTTAATACAACACTAGGAAAACACACTCCTTCAGTGGAAAGAGCCCAGGTTTCACCTTCCTTCCAAGTCATGACACCACTCTACATGTACATTTCTGAGTCTTGGTTAACTGTATTTTCATCAAAGTGTCCTTTAGAACTTTGCTACTTGAGGACCTGTGGCATCAGCATAACTTGGGAGCTCACTGGGAAGCAGACTCTCAGGACCTTCCCCAGACCCAGCAGATTAGCATCTGCAATCCCCCGGCATTTCACCCTACAGTGTTCTCACGAAAGACAATGTGAGTTCACCAACCTGTAATCTAACAACAAACAAATGAACAAAGAGGATGCTTTTGCATAGGAAATTCAAAGAGGACAGGACATATGTGGACATAAACAATGTATTCATACTAAGAAATGCCAGTATGCTTACTAAATGACAGACCAGGAGGTAGACACTGCCCTTCTCCTGTGTTAGAGGCACAGAGCAATTTTGTAACCTGCATGAGATCCCACAGTCAGTCACACAGTGGAAGAGGCAAAATTTGAATCCAGGCGGTCTGACTTCTGAGGGCATGTTTTTAACCATTACACCCCATCCCTTCCTGGCGCTGTGCACCTGTATTCAGGAAATGAAATAGCTCTGATTCAGGGCCTGGAACAAAAAGCTAGGTTGCTATAAGGCCCACCATTTCAGGCTCAGTCACATTTAGAAACAGAGACCACATCAGCTGGAGATCAAAACCTCTAACAGAACCCTCTTAGGTATGATCTGAGGTCAGCGAGGCATGGAGAGGACATCTGGAACCCCATGATTCTCCTGATGGGGTGGAAAATGGGGCCGGACAGGTCTGAGCCCCTACTGTACTTCCCATCAGGCTCCCCTGGCTCTTCCATGCCATCCCCCACCTCTGCTGGGGTTTTGCTCTTCCAAAGACCCCTCCCACCCACCAGATAGCCAATGACAGGGGCTCCTTTCTTCACTTACATTGAAAATCTGCAAACATCTGTTCTGCTCAAATAAGTCATTTTGCACCTTATTTGAAACCTCCTCATTAAAAAAAAAAGTCTGGTAGGGGAAGACTGTGCTGATAAAACCACACGTCAGTAGCTCTTCAACTAAACAAGAAGATGGATAGGAGGGATAACAGGAAATTTCAGATGTGATAACCGAAGAGTTCATCCTTTGTGAAAATCAAGCCTACCAGCTACAGGGTGTTAATTAAGATGGGGTTTTAGTCTGGGCCCCAAAGAGTCATGTACCTACTGGGGTCTTAACTCCACTCATACATTTACAGGTGCAAGAAGGGTGGCAGTCCAGGCCCAATTAATGTGGTCATGGAATCCATGCCATCTCGTTGAAGGTGCCTATTGCTAACCACACGGTTCTTTTTGGCACAGGTAAGCACCCCCAAGGATGCTCTTAAACCCCAAGTGTTTGCAGAGTGGGGGACAGGGAGTTCCTGGAACAGACTTCGTAAGTCCGAAGAGGCCGGAAAAACTCTGCCTGTTTAAGGTACAAATCTGCTCTAAAAGGCACTAAACCCCTTTCATTTGGAAGCCTGCCCCATCAGGTGTGAGGCAAGATTAAATACACATTGCCCTGAAAATGCCACCTTGGCCCTCGTGATGCCAGCAGTTTCTTCACAGATCCAGCCCTGCCTCCTTCATAATCTCCACTCCAGAGGTAAGGAAGGACGGCGGAGTCCCCTTTGATGCACGTGATGGAAACATAAATCATTTAATACTTGAAATGCCAGACTGAACCTTGGAAGACATCCTGAGATCAAAATCACAGAGATGACAGAGCCGCCCTAGGTGAGCCCACTTGTCCCAGAGCTCGTGGTTCGGTGCACCGCGGGCTGTGGGGTGGGAACAGGCCACGGCCTGGCGACACGCGATGGAGTTGGCAGTTCCAGATTGAGCACCGGGAGAACAAGCTACAGACATCCAGTCCTGGGCACTTACCTTGCACTGCCCAGACACGCAGATGGCCGTGCCATTCTGGTCACAGGGGGTACCATCAATGACCTTCTCAGCTTGGCGGACGTAGAAGCGGTAGCCCATTGCCTGGCAGTTCAACTCACACTTCCGGTTGCCCTTTACTACCAAAAAAAAAAGAAAAAAAAAAAAAAAAGAAAGAAAAGTACCTTTTTGCTTCCAGTATTCCTTCTTGAGATAAAATTCACATAACATAAAAGTAACCATTTTAACCAAAGTGTACAATTCAGTGGTTTTTAGTATATTCCCAATGTTGTGCAACCACCACCACTAACTAATTCCAGAACATTTCTGTCACCCAAAAAAGAACCCCTGGACCTGTTTGCAGTCACTGCGCCCCTCCCTCCCCACCCCCGACTTTGGCAACCACCAGTCTATTTTCTTTCTCTCGATTTGCCTATTCTGGGCGTTTCATAATCACGCACTTTTCTTTTTTTAATATTTTGTTTATTTATTTGAGAGAGAGAGCAGGAGGAGGGGAGAGGCAGAGGGAGGAGGAGAAGCAGGCTCCCTGCTGAGTAGGGAGCCTGGCCTGGGACTTGACCCCTGGTCTCTGGGATCATGACTTGAGCCGAAGGCAGAGGCTTCACTGACTGAGCCACACAGGCGCCCCATAATCACACACTATTTTAAACTGTGCTGGAGTTACGACATCTCCCCACATTTGATGATTGAGGGAAGGGACTGGGTCTTGATCTACTGGCCTATAGAGATTCAAAGGGATTCTTAAGGAATCTCACAATGCAAATAATGGACTCTACTTTTAGAAATCCTCCCATGCTTTAACACAGTCGTAATTATATCTCACTTCCCAGAGATCACAGTGTGCACACAATTTTTTTTTAAATTTAATTTTTAATTGAACATCTATGCTGTTCTAACACTTTTATACTCTGTTACACAGAGTTTCCTGTAATAATTCTTCCATTATTAGATACTTAAGTGGTCTCCCCATCACCTCAGGTGGAAGACTCCCCGCTGAGTAAGAAGCCTGAAGCAGGGCTGGATCCCAGGACCCTGGGATCATGACCTGAGCCAAAGGCAGTCGCCTTGCTGACCGAGCCACCCAGGCGCCCCAGCCATTTTTTTTTTCTTTTGCCTTTCTCTCCTCTCCCCTGACCAGATATATTCCCCTACAGAGTCTTTCACACAAAGCCTGGCACACAGTCAGTACTTAATAAATGCTAAATTAATTACTGCTACAACCAGTACATTCAGAGCAATTTAGCTGCCCCAAAATAAGAATGAGAAAATTTATCAGGCAAGATATATTTCCAAAACAGACCCCAAGCCAAGTACACACTGATTTTTTTTTTTTAACTGTTTTTGGAGACAAGATGAATGCTATGTTCAGCCATTAGACAGCATGTTCCAGGGTCATGCCTTTGTCTGAAAATCTGATTACTGGATTGGATAACACTGACTTTTTCCTACACAACACAATACATCATATTTTCCCCAGAGTGGCTGCCTGTCATAGCAATGAACTTCACTCCAAAGCCACTGAAAACCGCTAACAGGAAATAACATGGAGCCTCTGGGATCACAGGGTTTAGGGAACACTGAATCTTCTATGTACTCCGAAGTCTATCTTAGAAGTCAGGAGACAGGGTTTCATACTCTGGCAGCCCAAAAGATAAAAAAAGGTGATCCTGACAAAATCAAAGAATACCAAGGACGGAAGCACCTTTAGGAGTTACCTAAAACCAAGCCATTTTTACGTAGATTAAAAACACAACATTGCAGCAGGCCTAAGAAAGGAGGTGACAAGGAAGGGGTAAACTAGTTTCCAAAGCTTGCTTTCTCAGGTCATCTATCTACCCTGACCCGGCTTCTTCTTTCCCAGCTCTCACTTTCTGAGGTGACAGCAGGACTGATCCAAGGGCATTGTCTTTTAAGTAATAAAAGTGTCTGAAAGGCAGCCTCACACGGGGTAAGGGTTTGGAGTTCTCACTTCTCTTGGCTTCCTCCCAACTACCTATAGCCTTTGGGATACTATCTTTCGCAGCCACAATTTTATTTCTCAGTATTTGCGACCGTATAGCAGAAGAACTTTCCGAGAACAAAAAACAAAACAAAACAAAACAAAACAAAAAAACATGTCTGAGTGTGAGACGATGATGGCCGAGTCTCTGACCAGCTGCCCGAAAACAGCCTTGAGTCTGGCCTTGAGGTTGGGCTCCTCCTACCTGTGGTCCAAACCAGCCACTAGGTCTGAGCCTCTGCCTATGTGGCTTAGACAGCATCCCTGCCTTCTCAGACTCGCAAGAAGGAAAAAGGGGGCTCTAGCAAAGAAATAAAGCCTCCGGACAAGGGACTGCCTAACACAACTGCCTAGAATCCTGATCCCTTAGCAATACTCAACCTGGTGCCTCTCATGAAAGCGCATAAGGACCGACTTCTCTTGGCCCTGCATACACTCCCCAGCCACTTTAAAAATTCCACAGAAAAATATATTTGCAGGGCCTCAGATTAAGGTTTTCCATAGATAATAACTTCGTTCCTTTTTTCCCCCATGAATACAACTAAAATTCTCAGACCAAGAGCTTCTTCTCTAAGCAGATTTTGCCATGGTTTTTTCAGTGCAGACAGAGGAGGAAAATTGGAAGAGTGTCCAAGAGTGGGGAGCAATGGGCCGCAAGCAATGTGGGCACCTCCTTCTCTCCCAGATTCTCTTATTGCTCTCCCTTTCTGTTCTCATCTGCTTCCCAAATGTCCTCCCCACCCCCAAAGGGAACACCTTTCTATTCCACACACTGAGCGGGTGACATGCAGCATGTCCCAGGACCGGAAGCATAGCACCACCTGGGAACTTGTTGAAAATGCAATTTCTGGGGCCTCACCTCCAACTCTTTCAGCAGAACCTGTGGCAAGCTATTTAAACAAGCCTTCAGGGCCCTTCTGGGGCAGTCAAGTTTGGGAGCCACCGCTCGAAGGAAAATCAAGCAGTGAGAAGGCCTGGAAGTTGCTGACTATTCTTATTTTGAATCCAAGATGTTCAAATTCTACACCTAAATTTCTAAGGTAATATAAGCACCATCTGTAGCTACATTTAGAATATTGACAGGTATCTGGATTCTTGATGGTAAAAATGCCCTCTTACTATTTAAAAAAAAAAAATGCTGATTACACAAGAAAATTCAAGTGACTTAGAATAAAGCAGCTAACAGCAAAAGCTACCCTCAAATACAGGTTACATATTTAAATTACTCACTGAACTGTGTTCCCTCAGAAAACCCACTGATATAAAAACATTTTTTTATTTTTTTTATTTCATTATTTTTTAAAGATTTTATTTATTTATTTGACAGAAAGAGAGAGACATAGCAAGAGAGGGAACACATGCAGGGGGAGGGGGAGAGGGAGAAGCAGGCTTCCTTTTGAGCAGGGAGCCCAATTTGGGGCTTGATCCCAGGATCCTGGGATCATGATCTGGGCCGAAGGCAGACACTCAATAACTGAGCCATCCAGACACCCCTAAAAACATTTGTTTAAAAATGATTTTATTTGTTTATTTGAGAAAGAGAGAGAAACGAGTGGGGGAGGGGCAAAGGGAGAGGGAGAAGCAGACTCCCCACTGAGCCAGGGGCAGCGCTGAGCCATGAGGGGCTCAATCCCAGGACCCTGAGATCATGATCTGAGCTGAAGGCAGACGTTTAACCAACAGAGCCACCCAGGCGCCCCAAGAGTAAAGACATTTTTTAAGTGATAAAAGACAAAAAAAAAAAAAAAAAAAAAAAACCAGAGAAGGAGTTTACAGTTACAAAATCTTGGAAGGTAGGAAGCAAAAGGACCTCTGGAAATACCAAAGCAGACCCAAGAAACTGAGCATAAGCAGGAGGGGAAGCCGCAAAACCGCCTAGTACGTTGCATCTCCAAGAGACAACTTTGTAAGTATGGCAGAAAGCAGGCCTGAAAACAGAAAAATCAACTGTAGGGGTGGTTAAGAAGTAGTCAGAGATTCCACTTTCCAGAATGGTTAGCTCAAAGCCTTTGAAAATCAACTCCTTCATAAAAGCAATGAGAATACTGTCAAAAGATAGCTGGAATGGCTATACTAATATCATGCCAAATAGACTTTAAGATAAAAGTTGTTACTAGAGACAAATAATAGCATTTTATGATGACAAAAGAATCAATCCATTAGGAAGACAACAACAGAGCCCCCCCAAACACATGAAGCCAAAACTGAAAGAACTAAAAAAAGAAATAGGCAATTCAACAATCATAATAGTTTGAAATATTGATGCCACACTTTCGATAATGAACAAAACAACTAGACAGAAGATCAGCAAGGACTCAGAAGACCTGAACAGCATTGTACACCAACTAGACCTAATAGCTATCTATAGAACTTTCCACCCAACAACAGCAAAATACTCATTCCTCTCAAGTATACATGAAACATTCTCCAGCAGGGACCAAATGTGAGGTCACAAAACAACCTTAATACATTTACAAGGACTGAAATCACACAGAGTATGTTCACTCACCACAATGGAATGAAATCAGGATTTGAAAGCAGAAAGAAATTTGGGGACTTCAAAAATATGTGGAAATTAACATACTTCTAAATAACTGATCAAGCAAAAAACACAAAAGGAAAATAAGAAAAAACTTTGAAGTAAATAAAAATAAAAATACAACACATCAAAACATGGGATGCAGCTGTAGCAGTGCTTAGAGGAAAAATTATAGCTGTAACCATCTATGTTAAAAAAGAAGATCTCAAATCAATAACCTAATCTAATTATATAAAGAATGGAGAGACAATAGAGAAAATCAATGAAACCCAGAGTTGTTTTTTTTGAAAAGATAAACAAAACAGACAAACTTTTGGATAGACTGACCAAGAATGAAAGAGAGAAGACATATAACATTAAAATCAGAAATGAAGAGGGAACATTACTACTGATTTTACAGAAAAGAAAAGGACTTCTAACCAGGGAAATTAGGGGGGAAAAAAAAGAAAAAGAAAAAAGAAAAAGCATCCAGATTGAAAAGGAATAAGTAAAACAATCTGTATTCACAGATGACCTGATTGTATATATAGAAAAATTTTCAAATGCACCAAAAAACTATTTGAACTAATAAAAAGTTCATT